GATGAGAGAGAAACATCGATCAGTTGCCTCCTGCACACCCCCTACTGGGGATGTGCCCGCAACCAAGGTACATGCCCTTGACTGGAATCGAACCTGGGACCCTTGAGTCTGCAGGCCGACGCTCTATCCACTGAGCCAAACTGGTCAGGGCCAAGTTGACACTATTGACACATTGTTAAAAATTCCTGCCTTGGCTTCTGTGATACACTCCTGATTTTTATCTATCTGACTTTCTTAGTCCTTTTTATTCTTGCGCTGTAAGTTCCGTGACTTTTGACTATCAACTGTATATGCTACAGATCATTCTCAACCCCTTCCTTCTGAGCTCCAGTCCCAGATTCCATATGACTAGCAGGCCTCACCTGGGTCTCCCCTATGCATTTTAAATTTCACACACAACAAAGTAAACCTGGCATTTTCCTTCCCCAGACTCCCAAACCTGTACCACCACCTTTATTCTGTAACTCAGTCACTTTGGTTGGAAATCTCAGCCATCTCATTTCTCCTTCCGTTGACCTCTCCCCAGCCCAGGCAGTGAGCTAGTGTGTGAATTCTGTCTCTGTGACAGCTCTCAGATCCCTGGCTCTTCTTCTCATTTTCATTTTCAGCTTTCATTTGCAACTTTACATACAGAGTAGGGCAAAGGTAGGGAAAGAATAACAATAATTGATAAATAATAATGCAAGAATAAACTCTGTGTTTCGTGTACTCATAATTGTAAACCTACTTTTGCCCCACCCTGTATACCCTCTTACACAATCACCAGGATTTGCTTTCTGAAACAAAACTAATTGTCACTCTCCTGCTTAAAATCCTTCAGAAGCTCTCCAATTGTAGAATGAGACAAACACTGAGCATTTTAGCTGCACTGGACAACACACTGTCCGCTTACACACTTCTCCTTTTCATATATCTGTTTTTGCTTATACTCATATCTCCACTTGGCCCTCTCCTTTACGGAACTGTACTTACTCCTCAAACAAAGCCTAATTCAAAAAGTAAGTCTCTTCCCTCCCAAAGCCTAACTCACCCCCCAATCAGAATTAATTGTTTCTCTGTGATTACTCCTTTGGACTAACATTTAACCTATTATGTTGTTAGTGATGGATTTGTCTCTTTCCTCTGAAAGGCTGTGAGCTCTATGAGGACAGGAATGAGCTTAATCAATTGTGTATTCTAGCACCCTCTACAAGTACCTACAATGTAGCTGCAATCAATAAATGTTTGTAAATTGAATTGAATTGGAGGGAGATTACAACATTGTAATATAAATCACTTTGTAGCCTGTGATTGATCACTACTACAAATACTAAAAATGGAAGAACGTGTACCTTTACTATTCAATAGAATAGGTTTATGGTTAAATCAATAGCAGTGTGTAATGTATGATGATGTGTGTTTATGCATTTGTCTAGATATTTGTAAGTTTGAGACTGACCATAATATATATGAAAACCACATATAAAGTGTGTATGAGGTTTGAAACTGGCTCTGTTGCCTAGGGCTATCTTTGTACCTTGCCAAAATGGACTGTGTCGTGATTGGCCTGACTATTTTAGCCATCCTTACATTATTGGTCAAGCAGTAAATGAGGTGTTTGGCTGACATGTGAAGTAACTTGTTCACAGTCCATTCGTTCCATGCATGTAGACACTACCTAGCATGCAAAGTTAACTGGAAACTGAGGAACTAGAGCCCAAGTTAGAAGATGACTAGAATTAAATTTGAACTCTCAGGAAGCCAGTTATGTGAAGGTCATAGTTTTAAAGGCAGTGTCTTTTTGTGCTCATCTTAGACCTAATCTCCCCTTCCCTCTAGAGATATTTTTAAAAGGAGCCTTATATGAAATCTGAGATTCCTATCTATACCATATGTGTAACAACACAGGGGCCATTTTGTTTTGAAACTATCAAAACTGATATTTGGTACTGTTCTTCCTCTTTCCTGCCAGCATTTACTTTAAGGGCATCCTGCTTCTATTCTTAAGAGAATGGCATTCTGTTTTAAATATATTAATAAACCAAACAGAGTGATACTCAGTAATATTAGAGACTAGCCTCAGAGTCTCCTTGCTAAAGTTGTCTTAAATCAGAATAAAATAAGGCTTTATCTGCACAGCTGGGCAGCAAAACCGGAATCCCTTCTCTTGCTGTAATAGCCAATCCTATCCAGTTAGTGATTCCAATTATGGCATCAAAATAGATGGTCATAGGACTGGAAAGAGGAAGACAGTGGGAGCATGGCTTAAGACTCAGGATGTTTTGTTATGTCTTTAAGGCAAGAACACCCCTGGAGCAGGAGATTTTTAACCTCCTTTGTAAGAACAAGCAGCCAGTGACAGACCCTTTACTGACTCCTGTGGAAAAGGCCTCTCTCAAAGCCATGAGCCTGGAAGAGGTAAGTGTGATAGGCCTTTTATACACCCAGGCAGGGCCTGTTTCTCCCAGCATTTGCTCACAAGCCCAGGAGTCACTGTAAATCTCATTCATTGTAGGCTAAGATGCGCCGAGCAGAGCTTCAGAGAGCCCGGGCCCTGCAGTCTTACTATGAGGCCAGAGCTCGAAGAGAGAAGAAAATCAAAAGCAAAAAGTAAGGAGCTATACCTGAAACCAATATAATTTTATTAACCAATGTCATCCCAATAAATTTAACAAAAAAAGTTTAAAAAGGGGGGGGGGGGGGGGGGCCA